CTGGGGCACTAGCCAATCTCATAGCCCTTCCCAGCCCCCTTGGGAATGGATTAAGGTTAATGTGGACGGTGCGCTTCTCCCGGACCATAGAGCTAGTGTTGGCATGATTATGAGGGATGAAACGGGGAAGCTGGTTACATCATTGGGATAGCGGATTTGTTGAACTCCAAACTATTCTTTTGCTGGAGCAGGCCACCCAACCTTGGATGCTTTAAGTCAAGGGTATCATTATTGAAGGAGATGATATCAACATCATCAACTTTATTATGAGGATTTCTTTAGCTCATAAGGCTTGGAAGGAGAACTTGGAACAATGTCATACTTTTGTTTTTCTCTTTTCTTTTAGGCAGGTTCTTTTTCATATTGTTCATCGGGAGCTTAACAAAGCTGCCTATTTTTTTGCCCAAAGGACTCTTTTGTATAGTTTTTCCTTTGATACGGTTCTTAAATCCTCAGAGCTTTCTGACATTCTCCAGGATGATAAGATTTCTTTTGCTTAGGTCTAAGGGCCTGTTTTTTGTACTCTTTGTACTCCTTTTTATGTTTAATGCAAAATGCACGCCCTTCACGGATCTCACTAGTGATTGCACTGTCCCTCAAAGCACCTAAGGAGGTTTCCACACTTGCGAGCAAACATTCCGATCGGTTCACCCCTTCATACTAGAAGATTCTCTCTACCGACTGCTACCATTCGATGAAATTATCTGGATCCATCCCTTCATTGAATTTCGATAGATCCACTTTTAGTTTGAAATCTCTATGTCCTCCATACGTTGCCTCTTTTCTCGGCCCCCTCTAATAATGAATTTCGAAGCATTGTGGCATGTCTTCCTCATCATTGAAGTCCTTCCTGTGAAAGGGATTCAGATTCGTCCCTTTCTCCCCTTAGACTCTCTATATCACAATCGAGGGTAATCTCCTTCTGGGTCTCATCTACAATCTCTACAAGACTCTCTCATTGTATCTCTTTTCAAGTAGGTTTCGACAGGTATTTCCTTAATGGCATGGTTAAGGTTTGAGAATTGGAAGAGTATATATGAGGATATGAAGGAAATTTTTTGAAGTAGAGATGGTTTAGGTATGACTGATCCACATAAAAATCACCTGTTTTTAGTATACATTTCATGTTCATTTTATGCACATTTTTAATGATATTACACTTTAAAAGAAGATATTTTGCATATTTTTGTCTTCAGCTACAAGAAATGGACTTTTGGTGAAAATGAAGGAAAATGGTGCTATTTTGAGTTAAATTGAGTAAAGAAGAAAATTCTCATCTGGCGCATTTTGATATGACTTTTCATGCTTAATATCCTTCATATTTATTCCATGTTTTTGAATGAAATTACACTTAAAAAAAATGTTATTTTTATGTCTATCTTGTAGGTATACCAATCTGAAGCGCAACGGAGCTGAAATGGGGCGAAACCTTGGAGCTGCGCGCAGGGTGACGCTATAGCGCTCAGAATGGCGCCATAGCGCCAGACACTAGAGCTATAGTGCCTGGGACGGTTATTGGACTACTTTTGAGCAATTCTAGGTCATTCGGGATGTTCTGGAAGCTTTTGGACAACTTGGACGCCCCATAGAGTGATTCAATGAATCTAGGCACTTGAAAAGGCTCTTGGATAAAGAGAAGTGTCTCTTGGAATGAAAGGATGTGTCTCTTGGATGAAGAGATGTCTCTTGGAGAAAGGAGGGGTTTTTATTTCTTTTTAAATAGGGGGTTGGCACCTCTCATAAGGAGTAATTATGAAGTAATTAGAGGAGTCCAGAGAAGAAATTAGGAAGAATTTTAGGAGTTTGGCGTGAGTTTATGGAGATGTAAATTTCTTTATTTTCTGGATAGATTGGTAAGGGATTTTGAGAGATATGAGTAAGGAAGTATGAGCGGCGCATGGATCAGCAGAAGACTTTGTTGGAGAGATTTTTCTTCTTTCTTTCAGAGGAAAAAAACTAAGTATTGTATTCTTCATTTTCTTTGTAATTGTTGTAAATACTTTTTACATAATTTTCGGGGAAGCAACGGTAAGAAATTAAGGAGAATTTTAGTTAAACCTGTAAGACTTAGATTTGAAAATTATTGTATTATTATATAGTGTGTTTAATTATTATGTGTTTGTTTTAAAGAAAAAATAAAAAATACTAAAAATATTGTAGAGATCTGTTCTATTAGCTAAGTCTTTAGATTTGTATGTGTCATTTAGGTATTGCAGACTTTGAACCCTCTGACTAAGATTGAGAGAGAACTGTTAGGAAGATTATGAATCAGAAAAGGCTCCATGAATTTATGATAAAAATGGCGGATCGATAATATAATAAATATTCATATTTGGACTATAATGCTAATTAAGGATCCCAATTATTGAGGAAAATTGATTTGGACAATGACTTGAAACTGGCCATGAGTTACATAATTCTTATTCTGATTGTTATAACCCAGGTTGGACAAATCATTTGAATTTTACTGAAATAATAATTTTGGAGGAGAAGACCAATTTTGGGAAGATAATCAATTTAAACGGACATGTAGTTGGAATAATCATGACGATTATAACAATGAACTTTCTTTCCCTCATGAATTTAACTCCAACCCACAGGATGAGGAGAAGGAATTATTATTAGAAGAAGTTGTGATTCAAATGGCGAGTCAGTTGGAAAGTTAAGGGGTTGCAATAAGGAATTTAGAAAACCAGCTGAGGCAGATTATTGATTCAATTAACACATAATAATAGCATCGGGAGGGGGTAAAGAATAGGTATGCTCTTATTTGTCACTGACAATATTATATTATAAGCATTTCATTCATTCACATTATTTAGGTCATTACACGCGGAGGGTAGTCTTTAATATCTCAAAATTCTTCAAAATAATTTATACGGAAAGTTATATTTATATATAGAAAAGTTATCTTTAAAATTAATATTTGCATTTAGGAATAGTTGTTATCATTACATTTAATATTTGCATTTAGAAGTAGTTGCTAGATAAAACACTATCTTAATCGATCTTCCAAACTAAAGTAGTAAACTAGAATTAGCCTAAGGTACGTCTTACCTCGCTTCTTTGTGGGATCGATATTTTGGGTCTTAAAAGAAAGCCTAATTTTTCTGTGGGGACTCCTGACGTAGCTCTACGTGCCGCGGAGGTTATTCTTGAGTTTTTTCAAGTTATTTCTGGGTTATTTTCAATAATCCCGAAATAACCCAGAAATAATCCGCGGTTTTTATTTTTTGGTTATTTCTGGGTTATTTCGGGATTATTGAAAATAACCCAAAAATAACCTGAAAATAACTCAGGAATGACCTGCGCGGCATGTAGAGTTACGTCAGGATTCCAGATAGAAAATGCGCTCTAAAAGAAAACTCTATAATACTTGAAACAATACGTATACTCGCGTAGAACCCCTAGTGTGTGAAATATAAATCAAATTCTAAATTTTATAAAATATTGTTTTGCACGCCAGCCGCTTAAATATAAAGTGGGTCAAGTTTTTTATCATTTTTAAGAGCTTAAAAATCTATGTAATTGTGGGTCGGGTCAATGACAGATGCTAGATAACCCTACGATAGAACTAGGGCTAACCTGACTTTGATGTCAATTGATGCTGAACTTAACCGAAAAACCACTATGGAACGATAAGTTAAAATTAAAGGGTTTACAAAAAAAGACACTTAAAAATAGGAAAGCAATGGCATAAGCACAAAAGCTCCGTAGGGCAATGATCGACGATGGTGGGTTGCGTGTCGAGATAGTGGAAACGGAGAGCTGTAAGTGGTAGGGAGGTTTAACAATGACAAGGAAAAGGTGGTTTGGCGACTGGGCAACAAACAAATGGTTGTTGGAGCATGCGACAGCAAGTCGAGGGAGTGGTGTGGCAATTGGACAACAAGCAGAGGACTGCGGCAAGCTGTGGCAGCCGACAATGGGGTTGTAGGAGGGTACGACAACAAACAAAGGGTGTTGGAGCATGTGCCAACAAGCCAGGTAAGGGGTGGGGCGGCTGGACAACAAGCTAGGGACCGGGGTGCGACAGCCGACAGCGGGGCTGTGGGAGGGTATGACAACAAATAGAGGGTGTGGGGGAGGGCTGCAAAAGGCTGAGGAGCAAGGGAGAGGGAGGAAAATAAAGAGATAAACCACGAGCATAACCCTCATCCATTAGCTTATGCTTTTGTGTTGAAAAGTGATTTGTCTATTGATGTATATAGCCAAATTTTAACTTTTTTGTTCACTCCCTGATAGTAGCTTCTTTTAAGGCTTTTTTCTTTCTCCTAGTTGGCTTGCTTGTTCGTGTAAAAGTTGTTGAAATGCTTAAATTAGCTACCTCATCCCGTCTGTGTTTGTGTTTGTTTGGTTGCATTTTTTCAGGATGCATGCATTTTAAGAATCATTTGGTTTGTTCTAAAAGAAATAAAAAAAAAATCTTTCTCTATGGTTGATTGTGAAGAAAATGCATGAAACTAGATTATGGGGAGGCGGAGTTGCGGTTGGAGTTGGAGTTAAACTTGGAGGGAAAGGTGGAGCCAAAACAGACATGGAGCTAAAGAGGAAGGGGGAGGGAAAGGCACAAATGTGATTATGTTGGAGAAAGATGGGAGGAGGCATAGGCTAATCAATATGGGAGGGGGAGCTGCTAAGGGAGCAGCGAAGGAGCCAGAGTGGATAGTGAAGCGGAGGGTTTTCATTGACAAATGTAGGGGAAAAGGAAGGAGCTTAATTTGCCACATTTTAAATAAACAGATAATACAGGTCTCCTAATTTTATTTTACATTCATTTACTTCATATCAACAACAAAAGAAGTGAACTGCAAACCTTTTACGCCTATGGAATATCCTTCCACGTAGCCTTTATATTTCTTCGAAATACATCTACTAATCTTAAATATTAAATACATGTTTGGGTACCACTAGCTAAATTGGTTCTGCATAGATCAAAACAAATTCTTATTTGCGGAAGTCAAATGTATTTTTAACTTCTTAAATTGTAATTGTTGCAGATACAAGAATTCTAGTAAGACGTCATTCAAATCCTCAACTCGTCTGGAATGTATGATGCAAGATTATCCAAAAACACTTCCCCCAAGTGCTAGAGTGGGCTTCACAGTAAGTTGCTCCAAATTGTAAATCTAGTATGCATGCTTATAGAAACCTTGTTAATCACCACAAATGCCATATGTTTATTTTATTGGCATAATTATAATATTTTTTTGGCTTATTTTGAAAAAAAATGTTTCTCCTAATTTGTTTTATTTTTTTAGTCTGCTTACTCGATACTGACTCATTAATTTTCTTAATCAACGTTCATGTACATTCTTTGGTTTCATAGTGAGTTTCTTATAGCTTGATATTTTCTTTGGCGTCATATTTTTTTTGGGGATGCTACTTTTTAGAACAACATCTTGATCATCAGCTAGTTCAACATTTTGTACTAACATGCAATTTTCGGTCATGCTGCATATTACCATCTATGTGTAAAATGTGTTTATTAATTTTCATTTAGCAAAAGAAATAAATGTTGAGAACAAAATAATCTTATGGTTTAGAGTGATTTAAAAGTCTCAAGAAAATTTGCATAATTAATTTTCTAAGAATAAATTTGTAAATATGAATTTTTGTGGGAAACAGTTACAAAATTGCAATTTGAAACTTCCAAATAAGTTAGGATGGCTAAGGAGTGGAGAGAAAATGATCAAGTTAAGAGAGAATAAAGAAATTGTTGGCATCTATATGTGATCCATAAGTTGCTCGATTGAATGTGATGACAATAGCGAAGCATAGATGTAATTTCATGAAAAATTAAATCAGAGTAAACCAAGCGGATCATAATGGTCCCATCTTCTTTATTGCTCAAGTTTCACTTGAATGAATCACTCTTTTTTTGCAATATATATATATATATATTATAGAAAGAGCAGCTCGTGGCTCCTTACGTGTTAATTTCAAAAAAAACGATTACAAAGTTTTTTGGGAAAACAAGGATCCCCTCTAGAAAATAAAAAACAGAAGATCCTAGGTGTTCCATTTTCCTCATTACAACTCCACCCAAAAAAAGATAAAAACCGTATCCAAAAGAAGAAAAACTTAAAAATACATGTATCAAATCAAAACGTATACACAAATAAATGACGTATACCCAAAAAGTACACGTATAAGAAAAGCAGCAAGGTAAGAAACTTGTAAGCTGAAGAGAGACTTCACAAGGGCAGGGATCCGACGAAGTAACATCCAAAAACCTGCAACTCATAAGGGTTGAAACATAAATGCATTGGTTAGTGTAAATGGGAAGAAAATCATAGTGGTCCAAGTTTCTCCAAAAATCCAAACAGCAAAAACAGACAACCCGAGGCAAGAGAAGCACCCCGCAAATCTACCACCAAAATTCAGCAACCTGAACCAGTACAGCCCACCCAAACAAAAATATTGGCAAAGGATTTTGGAGCTGTGGGCTCCAAATATAAGAGATACTGTCCTTTAAAAATATCCAGCCTCCAAACCCCCAATAAAACCATCAAAGCAAACCGAAAATAGTGTCTCTCATACTCCATACCCCTCATAACAATCATCCCAAAACACCTCTCAACCAAAGCAAAGGAGCCCTGGGCCTCCTCGCACATCAAAATACGCCAAGAGAGGTATCTGTAAATGAGCTTCCAAAAAGGGAGCCATGGGCCTCCCTTATATACCCGAGAATAAATGGTGGAGGTATCCTGGATCACCTTGCGCCAATTAAAGTATAACAGAGTAGTATAGTTGTTCATAAACCGCAAAATCCAAGTCTCCAAAGTGCACAGGAAAAAGAAAAGGGTAGAGGAAATAGGAAGGGTCGAGCACAAAATCACGGCCACCTAATGAGACTTAGAAAGAAGCAACTCTGCGAATATAAAGAGCATCAATATTATCACCAACTAAGAGAGTATGTAAGGAGGAGAGGGAGTAGATCCCACTCTACAAGTTTGAGTAGAACTTCCTAATTTAGCGAGCCAATTAGCGGCTTGATTGTCTTCCCGGTAATTGAAACTCCAAATAACATTCACATTGGATA